ATAATAATAATCTTATAGGAATACGCCAAGCATCATAACTGCTAGAATCCACTCTAGTGTCTGTGGTAGCCAAACCGGTAGGTATAATGTGTGCATGAAGGCCTGCATATAATGTGTGTATGTGAGCTTGTAGATAATGTATGTAGGGAATGGATGGTGGTAGATAAGTGAATGTGCCTGCATTGGTGATAAAATATAGGTTATTCAAGTCAGGAAGCTCTGTGATTAGGTGGGTTGACACGTGTGGGTGATAGGTAAGGGTATGTAAACACAGATGTAAATAATGAGTAAGATGTGACAGGCTGAATGAATATGTCTACGGGTTGGCATTTGGATGGGTGGGTGAATGTGACTTGGTTGGTACATCAGTATGTAACTTCCAAATATTTTAAAACAAACATCTTCACATTCAAACTTTTTCCAAAAAAGAACAATAGAGAGTGTGTTTCATGGTATGACAAGAATTATTGTTTGGGAGTTTTTGTTTTTATAACTGAGAATGCAAAGTCACACTACATCCATATATTTTTGTATTTATTTAGCTTATAATCTGATGTAGAACTATTGCATGAGCATACATTGTCTGTGATTATATGGTGCCAAGTCTTATAATTTTCCAAATTAATTAGTGTAGAAGGACAGGCAGTTGGGTAGCAATACAATATATAAGATTATGTATTGTTGCCAAATATTTGTCAGTGTCTATTTATTTAATTATGTAATTGTGACACTTGTGTATTTAATCAAATATTTAATGCAGCACAATACATACAATTCATACATTATCATCAAAAGTGAGTTCTGCAACTAACTTGGTTACTCCAAGCATAATAACCACTACAGCTTGCTGGTGCTATTCCTTGTGAAGGAACCTGCTTCTTACCTGGGTCCTGCTGAGCACTGGGTCTTCTCTCATTGGTTGGCTAATGATTATGCTGGATGTAGAATTAAACAAAATGGCAGGTAAATATATATATGTATGTGCACGGTTTCATATCGAAATCCCGCACATAGGGGGTTCTTGCACCATGACCATTTTACAATGCTGAATAAGTACAGGTTATAGGTGTAACCCTACCGCAGCCCCTAAAATCTACAGGTTGAGCTTGAAAACCAATAGTGCCATCTGGGATAATAACTGTAGAATGTGAAGTCAAGAACTACACAGAAAAAACATAAACACATTCAGGAATTGTAACAGAACAGAGTAAGAACCGAAAATCAAAGCCACTTCTGCAGCTGTGTGCACCAGCAAAGGAAGACGAAAATATTATGTAGGCATTGTGTGTCAGTGTGTAGCCAAAACGTGCACACACTGTTTATGGCCATTGTTAGAGTGACATCATGTATGCTTGAAGGTGAGAAAAGCAATAACATGATTTGAAAAATTGACAGGAATAAAACGCATTTATTGCTGCCAAAAGCAGCTTTATCAGGGACCAGAGAAATATGGTAATACTTAATACTTACAGAGAAGTATTTAATAAAAAAAAAAAATGTGCAATTATCTTTTAAGGACACAACTTAAATACACTTTTTACAAAATTCCATTAAATTCTGGTAAAATTCCAAATATTAAACAAAGATGGTAAATATATTTTAAATTAAAGAACCATAGCTGATATTCAACTGTTCCCGTCTACCTCCTCCTACTCAAATTAATAGAGTCTGAGAAAATTAGAGTTGGTACACATTCACAACCATTTGAGAATCTATCCCTTCTACTATTTACCTACAGCTTATATAACTTAGAACAGAATCACTGCTAGTATAAGAACTTCACCACAGAACAACATGTTTGTACAAGTACTTGTATGTACCTTCTAGGTGATGCATTTGCTATGCATATAGAATAACTCCATTCAGTTTTTATTAGCATTGCTGCAGTTGCATTCACACACGTTTATGGGATAAGCTCAGCAATCCTGTTGCAAATATTGTAATGGGGTAGGGTCATAATCTATCAATATTACTTTAACACACAACTGAAGCCTATCTCACAAAGCATGGTCAGTAATCCTCTATTGATTCCACATGGACAGGCTCTGGATGGGCATATGCAAAAATATTTAGATGCATAGGTGATACAAAATCTTGAATCCCTGTGTAATAGTACAAGCCTCTTACCAGTGAAAGTACATCTTGAGAAACAAACAGTGTTTCTCACTACCCACTTGACTGAAGAAATTACAGATATACAGATATATGCCATGACTTGTAGTATGTGAAGGACATTGTTGCCTCTTTGGAGAAGGATCAAGATAGGTATTAACAACCTTTAAGAGCCACGCTGAAAAATGCACCAGCACCTCTACACCATGGTTGAAATATGTTTCCTGCTCGGATGTAACAACCTAAAAGATACATTTCACTGGCACTGATGACCTGCTTCACCAGCCCTGACTACGACCAGCTCCTCAGACATGACTTACTTATATAACACACTTGACCTGGGGGCCAAGGCACTTGGACTTCCTACCTGTATATACCTCCGTACCCACCCCCCTCCTTTTTGTTTTTTCTCTTTTTCATCTTCCGTTCATCCCCGACCCACCAAACTGCCTTTTGCTACTCCCACTCTTTATGGTCATTTAGCCCCTAAAACATATTGCAAGGCCAAACTCCTCTCTACTCTCGTGACTCACTGTGTCCACTCTAACACAGCCTCCCTAACCTGGCTAGGTATCAATCCCACGATGGATATGTGTTGTGTGTGGTTATATGCACAACATCCTGAAACTGTTATTGCTCTCCAACTCGAGACATACACTACCTTGATGTGAATGCTTTGTTACAATGCCAATCCCTATGTCCCTGCATAACACTTTAACAAAGATTGTAAAAATAATAATAATAATAATAAAAAATTCTATAACTATTAATGTGTCATCAGTAGAGTTGAGCGAACCCGAACTAAAAAGTTCGGGTTCGTACCGAACATTACGTTTTTTGGACCCCGGACCCGAACACGGACATATCACTGTATGTTCAGGTTGGAGTTTGGCAATTTAATGAAGCATTTTGTAAGGCTGCAGGGCAGTCAATCAACAAGTGTTTGACTCATATGCCCTTAGAAGCCATCACAGCCATGCCTATTAATGACATGGCTGTGATTGGCCAGTGCAGCAAGTGATCCAGCATCTATAGAAGCTGGTCACTTTGTATTAGTAAATTATGCCCCTACTTGCTATACCGCGAGTAGGGGCGTGTCTATTAAACCAAAAAGCCAGAGTCTGAGTGAGCGGAGGGTTATCTCTATTCTCCAAGCTTTGGTAAGCACTATCAGTGCATTTGTCTCATGGCCCTCACCACTGTACACTTGTTACCTAGCAACCATTCCCTCGACACACCACGTCATCACGTGACCTTCTGTGATCACTTCTGGGTCAGCACTGTACGGGAGAGGTTCGCTTATTATTTTTTCCTGCACCCCAAGAAATCCTAGGTGGGGATTAGTCCACTTATGCTGATATCACAGAGCAGTCGGTCTCCTCTCTATTTGTAAGTACGTTTTTAATTAATTTATACTGACACTGTTATACAGTGAGCACCATGGGGGCCGGACATTAGGTCGTCCCCCCTTATTGTTATTTAGGGCCCCCACCCGTCGCGCAGGTGTGGGGACCAGGGGGGAGGACATTAGGTCCCCTCCCCTTATTGTTATTTAGGGCCCCCACACGCCGCTTAGGGGTGGGGGCGGGGGGGAGGACAGTAGGTCCCCCCTCCACATTCTTATTTAGGTCCCCCACCCATCGCACAGGGGTGGGGGCAATAGGTTTTGTTTTTGTTTGTTTTTTTACAGTGAGCAGCCGCAGGCTCACTGTTTACTAGACACGGCCCTACTCACGTTATAGTGAGTAGGGGCTGAATTTACTAATACTAAGTAATCTTTACTTAGTATTAGTAAATGTGGTTGAAAGACCAATTTAGGTCTTTCAGCCTTTTGGTAGATAGCTCCCTAATACCGTGGGAATTAGGGAGTTATCTACTAAGCGGCTGCTTATTATATGTTATTTTTAAGTGATTTCCCTATTCACATTTGTTTGCAGGGCACTTGTCCTACTTTTACCCCCATTTTACTTCCTTTTGCAGCCCTTTCCAGGAGTTTTTTAGAGCCATTCTTGTGCCCAAAAGTTTGGGTCCCTATTGACTTCAATGGGGTTCGGGGTCAAGTTCAGGGTCAAGTTCGAGTTCGAACCAGGACTTTTTTTCAAAGTTCGGCCGAACCCGCCGGACCCGAACATCCAGGTGTCCGCTCAACTCTAGTCATCAGTATATACAAATGTGCCAACTTTGCTCACAAATGAAAACTCTCTTGTAGCAGACCACACGTCACAGTTGGTCGTTATAAAGTGCTGCTTGGAAGACTTAAATATTGAGGAATTCACAAACGGAGGATACTGCACTCACACTTAGGAATCCAGGTGCTTTTCAGGGCCAGGGTTGGCAAAACCCAGTTTAGTAGATAAAATAAATTAGGTCCAGGCACTCAGGATTGCTGAAAGAAACAATGTGTGTGTACACCCACCACAGTGTAATAAGTGCTTAATTTATATCAACAGAAAGAAACTTTCCTGTATAGGATAAGATTTCCAATAGTATCCCAAAAGACTTCCTCTTGTCTTCCACACAATATAAGCAAAAAAAGGGGGATGATACTTTTGCTGAAGTTTGCAAGCCTTGAATATTTTCCTTTTCAAAATAGGAATTCCAAATCCACTGTCTGAGTTAAAATCTCCATAGATGTATTAGCATGTATGTGCTCAGGAAAGAAGTATATATAAAAAAATATAAGATGCACATTCAGAGTGAAGTACAAAAAAAGTATTTAATAACTTACATCAAGATATAAAATCATCAGTGTAGTCCCTCTATGTCACCACCTACGCGTTTCATCCAACCAAATAGGACTTCCTCAGGGACTTGTATGGTGTGTGATCAACAGGTACAAATAAACAATGAACAATAAAATTTCCCTCCCTCCCCAGTTCTTATATATCCCTCAGTGTCCACATAATGAATAATATTTTACAGGTGTCTCTTCTCTGTTATCCGGGCTGATTTCCCGATATTATGACGTCATCACGTCCGACGTCCGATGACGCGTGCGTTCCAGCATGCGTTCCTTTGCCGAAACCCGGAAGTTAGTCGAGAGTTTCTATCTTGTTACTCACTGCTCGATCTCAGCCAGGCATATATTTATAGTTTGGTGGAAGCAGGGAACAAGAGGAAGGGGTAGTAAATATTTCACTCTGCATCAAACAAGTTTAATACTTAAAAATAAAAATAAATTATTATTGTTCTCATTACCTATATTGTTAAAGTGCATACATATAGATAAAAATAAAAATAAAAATAAATACAAAAAAAACTCAGGATTGCTGCAGGAAGGCAGGTTTATTGGAACAAAAAGTGCAACTTTTCGGGCTACACAGAGGACTTTATCAAGCTTAATAAAGGACTCTGTGTATCCGGAAACGTTGCACTTTTTGTGTCAATAAACTTGCCTTCCTGCAGCAATCCTGAGTGCCTGGACCTAATTTATTTTATTTAATATCGAGAGAATAATATAGGATTATTTAGGATATCAGAGAAGGCAAACCACAAATGACTGTTTTTACACAAGCCCATCTGTTTAATACCATCCTAGGTTGCCTTTTGGAAATAGTAATTGAGCTTGAATAGGTCTTATCATGATCTTAGGGAAATATCTTCCTCCTCTCTCTTACAGCACACAGTGGAGAACATTATGAAACAGGCCCGCAACATAAAGAAAAATCCCATTGTGGCCAAAAAGGTCACTGTGTATTAAGTTATCTCCTGGGAGACTTTACTGCAAAAGAAGGCACTGATGTCACTAACAAAGTCTCTCTGTCAAGTTGCCTTACCTTATCACTTGGGGTTTTCCTTTCACTACTAATACATCATGATGGCAAAAGTTTATGTTATGGTTTCATGATGAGTTACCTTCATATTGTAAAGCATTATATCTAGACACCAAAGAAGCTGCTGGATTATTACATAACTTGGAAATACTTTAATCTCAATCTAACAGAAAGAAAGAGATTCTTTCTCCATACCAGGATTGATTGCTCATCGGTATCAACTGGAACATCCTCTCATAATGGACTTACTCGATATTCCAGGTTGGACTTCTCAGCTACTCCTGATGTGAACTGTGAGAGAATGCTAGGAGAATATATCGGACACTGTACTGTGAGGATATCTTCTCATTACAATTACTCTTATACTTGCTTACTTTTGGAATAAGATCCAATTAGTCACTGGGCTTAAAAAATATTCTGTATTGATAAACCAGTTGGGGTACACCTTTCTGTTAATATTTTGCAAAGAATCATTCTGAATCAATTTTTCTACAGCTACAGTGGTACATATAATGTCACCCCTTGCCTATGAATACATTTAAGCTACTTAACCCCTTAAGGACACATGGCATGTGTGACATGTCATGATTCCCTTTTATTCCAGAAGTTTGGTCCTTAAGGGGTTAAAATGACACAAACAATATATTAGATGTGTGTAATTATAATTCTGTAGCTATTCATGTGCCTTTAATGCATAACATTTTGTAAAATTGCATTAATGGAAAATTAATGCTGCAGGGATGTACTGAGCCTTAAAATTGGTTTGAATCACTTGTTGACTATATATTTTGCTATTATGTAAATTGTTCCACTCATTAAATTTATGGTATAAATTGTGTTCTAGATTTACATATATTTTATTTTCATCTAATGGCATACATATGTAATCGTAATAGAAAAAACAAATAGGGTAAGAAGAATAAAGAAAGAAATGTCTCAGTGATTAAGAATGTTTTTTTTTCACTAAACTATATAAATTGTAGACTGTGGATGTAAGGAAGAAGGCTTAATCGATGAAAACGTTTGCTATCATTCATTACCCTTTTTTGATGCACTTTATATCTCTGGGTTACTGGAAAGTGGTGAGTGAAATCCATTGTTGACTTTTATTAATAACATTTCCACTACCACTCTAAGTTAGTACCCAGTCTATATTAAAAGTATATATAATATTATTATTTTTTTTGTATATGTTTTTAAATATTATCTGAATAAATTTACTTTTTTGGGATTATTTGATGTCCTGTATCCTGTTCCTCTAAACACTGGATCTTGTAGTCATTTCTGACACTCGTGAGTGCGTTTTATAAAGTCTGGGATGGCTCTGGGCCATGTGAGTGATATTCCCACTGAATCCCTCAACCATATATGTTTTTACTGTTCACACTATGTTGGTTGTATTTTTGTGTTTTATTTTAGGCACCTTATATTGGTTTATGATACCAACTTACCCAGTATACGTTTGTATTTATATTTATTCACTGTGTCTCAAGGTTTATGTCCTTACTGGTTTTGGTTTATGTAACTGATCACCTAGCACCCCAACTCGGTACCTCCGTTGATAAATGCTCCTATTGCTTCCCAACGGCTCCAAGCACTCCAGCAGACACCATACCAACCGCAGACCTCATGAACCGCTGTAGCTTGGTTGGTGTCTCGCCGTCTCGTACCCACCCTGGACCTACGACAAGACTTCAGGTTCCAGTGGGTGAACCTCTCCTCCAAGAGAGCAAAGCAGGAACAAGTACTTAAAAGAGCCTAATAGTGATTTTCTAATGGAGTATGCAGAGCATAGCAATCCCTTGTAGTGATATAACAATTCCCCCAATAAGAGCCAAGACTCTAGATTTAGGGTTAAGCAGGAACAGAATGCACTAAGGCTTTATTGCTTCTTATATACACATTTCCCCACAAGGTTACCGCCCATGTGGACCTTGTTGGGCACTGAAAACACAAACTCAACAACCAATCATTTACAGACACACAGTTAAAAAACTCCCAATAATTACAGTAAATTCCTCCCCTCTGCTTGGGAGATAATTAGGCTAATTACTGTATCAGCTCAATTATCTCCAGGCAAAAAGTACACTTTTTATACAATTTATATAACTCCAAAATTATACATCACATTCGCATACAACTAAAATTTTCTGAACCAGCATAATTAAGGAACAAACATATCCAAAAATCATGCGAATTGGTCCAGTGGTTCGGGAGATAGCTAGAAGTCCCATTTGACCAACTGCAAGCATAGCTTTCCTGCCCAAAACGGTTCCACAGATTTGGGCTGTGCGGCCGGTCTATTCACCATAGTCCAAATACTGTTCGAATGCATGAACGGCTGCATCTAAAACGCCATTTCAAAAGTACAAATCCTTTCCCATAGTAGTTAAAGGGGCAGAAGCAGTGTATTAAAATCCAATATGCCCAAATAATGCTTTTTAAGGCTTTCCCCAACAGGCCGGAGCTAGTGTAGTTCTCACCCTCCGGCTGTATGCTGAATAAATAAGTGGGAAAAAATTGCTTCATTTTATTTTTTGCATTTGTCTGCAAAACAATTTATACATACAATTGCTGTGTTATGATATGTTTATAGGTTAGTTAGGCACCCCTTGCTTCAAATATATGTTATGATAATATTTTTCAATGAAAATGTGCTTGGTGTTAAATAGGGTTAAATGGCTACTGCATGGCCAAAAATAACTAATTATACATTTTGGAAAAATATGGTATATGCATTGACAGTGGCCTGGGCCCCCAGGCAAAATTAGCACCTGGGCCCCCAGCAGACCGATATATATGCTGGTATAGGTGTACCGTATATTTGATTGTATGTATATGTAAAGTGAATGCATATTTCTGTGTGTATATTCACAGTGAGCGCTAGTGTAAGTGAATATATGTATGTCTTTGTGTGTCAGGATATGTGGATTATTAGTATATTTGAATACATGTTTTTGGTTTTGTGAATAGGGTAGTATTTTTTTGTGTGTTTTTGTGTAGCATGGCAGTATGTATAAGGGGGTATTTGTGAAACCAAGTGTTAAATGTTACGAGCCACCTTAAAAGGACTCTCCAGTGCCAGGAAAACAATCCGTTTTCCTGGCACTGCAGGTCCCCTCTCCCTCCCACCTTCCATCCCCGGTTGCTGAAGGGGTGAAAACCCCTTCAGTGACTTACCAGAGGCAGCGACATGTCCCACCTCGCTGCTTCTTCCTCCGCTCACGCTCCTCCCCTTCATCACGTCAGCCGTCGGGGAGACCTAATGCGCATGCGCGGCAATGCCGCGCAGGCGCATTAGACCTCTGCATAGGAAAGCATTGAAAATGCTTTTCAATGCTTTCCTATGGGAATTTTAGCAACGCTGGAGGTCCTCACACAGCGTGAGGACGTCCAGCGACGCTATAGCACAAAACCTGTGCTATAGACCAGGAAGTGCCCTTTAGTGGCTGTCTAGTAGACAGCCACTAGAGGAGGAGTTAACCCTGCAAGGTAATTATTGCAATTTATCATAACTGCACTAACTACACTTGCAGGGTTAAGGGTAGTGGGAGTTGGCACCCAGACCACTCCAATGGGCAGAAGTGGTCTGGGTGCCTTGAGTGTCCCTTTAAAGGAACACTATAGTGTCAGGAATACAAATGTGTATTCCCCCCTTAAAAATGCGATTTACTCACCTGTTTCCCAGCACCGACCAAACTCCTTGGCAGAGTTCATCAATTTAGATGATCTCAGCCAACCCAATGCTCTACCATAGGAAAGCACTGGAAGGCTATTGTGCATGCACAGCAAAACGCTGTGCTGTGCCAATCACCATCAGAGAGATGCATTGAATCAGTGCTTCTCTTTGACAAGCATTCAGCGTCGACATGCAGAGCATGGAGATGCTGAATGTCAGTGCTGCACATTTTGCAACACTGACACAGGAAGCGCCTAGGTGTTCCTAGGAAGCAATGTAAACACTGCATTTTCTCTGAAGAGGCAGTCTTTGCAGCAAAAAACCTGCAGTAGTATACTATACTCACCAGAACAACTACATTAAGTTATATAATAAGCTGTATAATATAAATTAAGCTGTAGTTGTTCTGGTAACTATAGTGTCCCTTTATGTTTGTGCGTGCAATGGGGTAGGGACTGCAGAGGGTGCCGAAAGGAAGGGACTGTAAAGGGTGCGAGTGGAAGGGGCTGCAGAGGGTACAGGGGGGAGGGACTGTAGAGGATACAGGGGGGAATAGAGGCTGTAATAGGTGCAGAGGAGGGACAGGTTGTAGTGGTTGCAAAGGGTAATAGGAGCTGCAGTGGGAGCAGTTGGGTAGCCCACTAGCCACTACCAAAAGTGAAACCCTACCATTGCGCACAGTGCAGGGGGTAGGAGCTGCAGTGGGAGCAGAAAGGTACAGGATGTAGTGGGAGCAGGGAGGTAGGGGATGCAGAGGGAGCAGGGAGGTGGGGGATGCAGAGGGAGCAGGGAGGTGGGGGATGCAGAGGGAGCAGGGAGGTGGGGGATGCAGAGGGAGCAGGGAGGTAGGTGCTACAGAGGGAGCAGTGAGGTAGGGGTTGCAGAGGGAGCAGGGGGTAGGGCTGTAGAGGGAAGGGGCTTCAGATGGAGCAGGGGCTAGGGGCTGCAGAGGGAGCAGAGGTAGGAGCTGCATGGGGTAGGTGCTGCAGAGGGAGCAGTGAGGTAGGGGCTGAATGAGGTAGGGCCTGCAGGGGGAGCAGGGGGCAGGGGCTGCAGTGGGAAGGGGCTGCAGAGGGAGCAGGGAGGTATTGGCTGCAGGTGGTATGGGCTGCAGTGGGAGAAGGGCGTAGGAGCAGTAGGGGGTAGGGGCTGCAAAGGGAGCAGGGCGTAGGGGTTGCAGAGGGAGCAGTGTGTAGGGGCTGCAGAGGGAGTGGGCTGCCGTGTGTAGTAGCTGCATGGGGTATGGGCTGCAGTGGGAGCAGGGAGTAGGAACTGCAGTGGGTAGGGGCTGCAGTGGGATCAGGGGTATGGGGCTGCAGAGGGATAAGGGGGTGGGGATGGTGGGATCAGGGGAGGGGACAGGGAGCAGGGGGTGGGGGGATGCAGTGGGAGCAGGGGGTAGGGGACACAGGTAGGGGATGCAGGAGCAGGAGGGTAGGGGATGCAGTTGGAGGGGGCTAGGGATGCAGTGGGAGCAGGGATAGGGGATGCAGTGGAGCAGGGGGGGATGCAGGAGCAGGGGGGTAGGGGATGCAGTGGGAGTGGGGGGTAGGGGATGCAGTGGGAGCAAGGGGGGAGTAAGGGCTCTGATGGTGCAGTAGTGGGGGAAATTATATAATAAAACATTTTAATTTAAAAAAATAAAGCCCCCCTCCCAAACCTTACCTCTCTGGTGGACCTCTTCTGAAGGAACCTCACCGAGGGCACACAATGCTGACATGCTGCCTGTAAGTCTGCCCAGACCAGAGCAGCTCCGCACAGCTCACTGTGACTGGTGATGTCACTTCCTGCCAAACAAGCTACCCTGAGCTGCCCTGAGCAGTGTTACAGGCAGCTCAGTGAGGCTGTGTTTGGAGACAAGCACACTGAGGGACAGCCTATCGGGGTCTTTGGAAGGCCCTTTAGCTGTCTCTCAGTGTGCCCTGCAAGGGGATAATATTTTTAGCAGCAGGGGCCGCGGAAGGCTGTGCGGGCCAGTTACTGAGTGCAGGTTGGCTGGGGAGATTGTTTAACTCCCCAGCTCAGCCATTACTTACTGCAGCAGGGGCGGCCCCCCAGAGCCTTGGGCCCTCGGTCCATGACCGATTTGCCCGAGTGCTCAGTCCGCTCCTGGGTATATGCCATTCAGATTTTAGAAAATCTGTTAGCCAAAATATAGTTTGTCTGTTAATATAAAGCAATATTCACAGAAAACCAATGGAAAAAGTAAGCATGTTGTTTAAAGTTAAGAAGTGCAAAGACAGTTTTATTTTATAAGAAATGTTTAGATATACAAGTCAGAGGCAAACATCCGAGTATATGAAACACAAACAAAAGATTACATACCACAGTATCAGTGAGTTTACTAGTACTGATAGTAGTTTGGTATTAATTAAGAAGGAACTTCTGGAAATAATTCATTAGTCACGCAATATTTAGCCATTGGTATTCTCTTTTTGATTAAGTATTCTGAGATATGGATGTGTTTACAAATTTTTTGCATTACTTGTGTTGGAGGAGACAGATCATTAGCAATATCCTTCCTTCAAGGGCTCCTTCCACTGATGGGCCTTAATTCAGAAGACTTGTTTATCATTTCTTTTTTTCTAGAACACTAACTTGTTCTTATGAATGCTCATAGGAGTGTTGTAATATAGCTATTAATGCATTAAGTCATTACCAAGTATGAGATTTTACTATTATCATGATGTAAAGTAAAGTTTATTAATGGCATGGATGCAGTATTATAATGCTCTATTTATTTCCCCCAGCAGCAAAAAAGAACAAACATTCAACATAACATGAAAGAGTTAAAACAATCGTGTAGCAATGTAACCAGCAATCACATTAGAACTAGGATTATTAATGTCCGAAGCAGTCCACCATCATCCTCTTTCTTGTGATCTCAAAGAGTACAAACCAGAAACGTTACCATCGGAAAAGAACCATTATCTCAGTCAACAAATGTAGAAGTGGAAGAGGTTAGAAATCATTCACTAAGGATGTGATAACATTGAGACAAAAGTCAGGCTTGAAAAAAAGTAGACAAATACAGCAATATCTCAGAGTATATACACATTATATGAAAAATAATAAATTACTAATATTTGAGATAGGCAAGAAAAAATGTTCAAACATCCCATAAATGAGCACAAAAAAAACAAGGAATATGAGCATAAAGAATATTACATATACTCCGTACAGCAAAAACTAAGCTAAAGGATACCGTACAATGCATATCAAAACAAAGATACTATCGAAAAGATCACTTTGGGTTTTGGAGGGTTTGAATAATACTCGCTCATGTAATTAATAAAATCATAACTTTACACCATGATAATAGTAAAATCTGGCAATGCTATTAAATTACCACTCTGAGAATTTTGTGGCTCACCTTCTCTAGTGGTTTGTGAACCTGCTGTCATGATTACAAGTTGATCTATCACGCAGTACTATGTCAAGCCTAGGACTAAGGATAACGTATAACTGGACCTTAGAGTGGCCGGACTTAAAGTCTCCAAGAATAGTCAAAAGTCAAAACAAAGCCAAAGTCAAATACCAGAAAATCAAGATCAGGAATGCACTCTCGGATAACCATATCCTTGAAACCACGACAGGGCAATGAGCAAGAGGAGAATTGGGTTTAAAGGGATTCTCGAGTGCCAGGAAAACATATTAGTTTTCCTGGCACTGCAGGACCCTCTAGTGCCCCTCTCCCTCCCACCCCTAGCCCAAGTTACTGAAGGGGTTAAAACTCCTTCAGTGACTTGGCGGAGTCCAGCGCCAATGTCCCTCGGGCAGGGGCAGGCTGCGCCTTCTCTCCTTCCCCTCCGGTGTCAGCCGGCAGGGGAGACCCAATGCGCATGCACGGCAATGGCCACGCACACGAATTAGACCTCCCCTTTGGAAAGCATTGAATAATGCTTTCCTATGGGGATATCCTCTGCGCTGGAGGTCCTCACATAGCGTGAGGACGTCCAGCGTCGTTTTAAAACACTTTGTGTTCTATGAACACGGAAGTCCCTCTAGTGGCTGTCTAGTAGACAGCCACTAGAGGAGGACTTAACTCTGCAATGTAAATATTGCAGTTTATGAAAACTGCAATAGTTACACTTGCAGGGTTAAAGGTAGTGGGAGTTGGCACCCAGACGAAGAAGTGGTCTGGGTGCCTGGAGTATCCCTTTAAATACCCCTCTTGTGGATCCAATTGGCTGTAACCAGCCTTTGAACCCAAAGGCAATTACCAGGTTTCCATGTGCATGATTTCTGCTCAGCACAAACCCTCCTGTGGATTTGATTGGCCATGACCGGCCTTTGACCCCAAAAGTAATTAGCAGGTTTCCATGTGCATGATTGCTGCTCGGCACAACTTTTCCTGTCAGGATGGTAATGTTGCTCGGCACAAATTTTCCTGTCAGGACAGTAAATGCTGTTAACTAAATTTTTATGTGCGGATGAATATGTGACACCTGCAGCACGAAATATTGCACTATGTGATCTGAGGACCACTCTGCAGATGGCATAGGATGTCCAGATGGAGTCCCCTTAAGGATCCAAGACTTAACCATCATCCGTATTTTATAATTTGTCTACCATAGACTGCTTATTGGGAGCAGGGGGGTGATCATCTGAATCAGAAGCATCACCGCCATCAGTGTTTATATAGAACCCATCAGACTCAGGTCAGACTATGCCCTCTTCCAACATCTAGCTGATTTTGCCCAGCTAAGGGCTCTTTTGCGAGATTTGGCATGCAACCATTGACAGTTATAATACTATTCATCTTTGCATAGTTTAAGGCATGCTTAGACTTAGCAAGTACCTTGCACCCAGTGGACTCTGGCTTAATTTCTGGAAGTGGAGGAATTGTGTGTGGTCTGGGGAACAGGTTTCTGCACTTGAAGCAGAGTTGAGTAATGGAATGGAAAGTGAAGGTAGACATGACCCCCATAGCAGAGACTACGGCCTGGGTACAAGTGCTAGACTTAGTAGAATCCAATAAAGCTTGGAATCCCTCAAATGCTTTATTACAAGGCTCGTCCCCAGAACTAGAGGAGTAATTCATCAAATGTATTACAGTACATGCTTGAGAGAGTAAAAGCTCATGTTTCCATATTACTTAACAGAGTCAGCAGGAAAGAAAGCGCAACATGTTGGCCTGCCTTTGAAAATTCATAGTCCTAGTTCTAATGAGATGGGCTGCTATGTTCTAAAGCTACATGATAATGTTTTAACCCTTTCATGTTATTTTGTAGCTTTGTTCTTTCGCTGCTGCTGAGAGAAATCACGAAAGAGAGAAGCAAACTATGAATCTCAGTGTCTTTATTTAAATCAGTTATAGCAAATGATTGCTATTAAATTGATGTAAAGTATATCTCATGTGTGCATGTTACTATAAGTTTGAAAGGAACATTTCTGGAGCAACGTAACTTTTCTCTTGTTGAGTCTCTAGTCCACAGCACTGCCTCCACTCAGAAGTTCAAGAAGCCAAACAACTCATGTATTCAATTTCCAGTGGCCATCTGTACTATACCAATGATAGCATCTTATTTTTACTTTGGCGATCTGATAAAAAATAATAAAAACAAAAAGAATAAAAACAAATTGTGCTGCACAAGACAGTTTATCAACAGTATGCTGATCCAGTAATAACATTCCCACCTACAATGGAGATAAAAAATGAAAAAGAAAACTTTATTAAATTTGTAGAATGAATCAAAGCAAAATATATCTATCCTTTCTCTATCAAGATGTAGGAAACTAGAGCCTGTTCTTCAGTTCAATTAAATTAATTTCAAAGGGGTCTTCAAAGGAAATCTCACTGTTACAAAAATAATGGTATACAGTTTCAAACAGATGTTATGAAAGATGTCAGTGAGATTCTGCTAGTTCCAAAAACCACAAATCACACAAATTTGATATATTCCAGGGATCAAACATGAACAAAGAGAATAGCATACAATGTAAATTTATATAAATATACAGTTGGGTGTAATATGCAGGCAATTTAAATAGTTTCTCCTAGGGCATAAAAGTTCTAAAACAAACCATAGTGTACTTTTAATAGCCCTTCATGATTAGTGAAAGAGATATATTGTCCTACTTGCTTTTTTATAGTCTAAGCCACTTCCGTCCACTGGTCTCAATGTGGGCTGGCATTAGCTCCCTGTCGATATCACAGTGAGGTGCCAGACATTTTTTGTACGCATCCTGTAGATTGTATCAGGTGATGATCTATGTAGACACATTATCTTCCAACTGAATGTTCCAATAGCAGTATTCGTAATTTTTAACAATGCTATGTGATTTTTTTTTTTAAACGTATCTTTTAAAGCAGTCCTATTGCTACATTATACAATCACGCAAAATGTGGACAGTCTTACAATAAAGATTTCATAAAGTGTGAATCCTAACAATTAATATCAAGAGATGTGTTTTCCCTACAATTCAATTCTCAGCTACTAAGCATGCAGGAGTACATCCAGCATGGAGTATAGTACAAGACCCAACGCCCATCTTTTGTTGTAATGGGAAACCTTCGATAAATGATTATGCAATGTGAAGTGCTGTGTTTGCTGTACAATAGACAAGTGTACAAATCCCTTTCAGCTGAGTGGAATGCAACACAAACTTGTTAATCTATGGATGAACAAATCGATCTGCGTCAGCTTGCCCAATGAATTTATTTAAATTGTAGATCAGTAGGCAATGGATTCGTTCAACGCAGCAAAAAGGGATTCATGTACAAGCCTATTGTATGAAGAAAAAATATATTGTATTTGCTATTTTTTGAGGACTCTTAAGAGTTAACCTAATGCATTATATACTTTGAAAATATTTGTTTTTATACTGGAGGGTGATTTTTTAAATCAATTTTCGGAATGTGTTTCCTGCACATGGCTAAAACTGGAGATTGTATTAGATTAAGGTATATATTATATTAGTGTTTACTTAGTGTCGCTGTATGTTTATCTTTGAAAAGGTTTTTGTTCATGTGATAAATGAAATTGGATGCATTAAAACCACTCATCGTATTTGTGTCTCTATAGTCAAATGCACAATGTAGACACTTGATGGCAGTACTGAGCTGATTCATATTGTCCAGATTCAGTATTATGGCTGTGATTATTACCAGGTACTTTTTCTGCATAGACAGCACTTTATTCAAATAACTCATATTATGAATACATTTTTTTTTTCTGCAGCTGTACTTTTTATCATCCAATATCTATATTGGAAAGTATAACCTTGCCAAGTTCAATTCTCTAAATAATCTACACATACAAATCTATTTATGTATACAAAATTGATGTCTGCACTATTTAGTTAATCCTATCTATCCGATGAGTAGATGCTTATGATAAGAATTCCTATAAAATTGGGCCAATGTACAAAACAAGTGGTAAACTCCTAAATAATGAGTCCATAGTCTATGCATGGCAGACAGGGCACGCAAAGCTGCATTACCCAGTTTGGAAGATCAGAGGATCTGCCTAGCTTGCTTAGAGTGCCTCCATGCATGGAGCAGACACCACAGTGAAATTTCCCATTGCTATCCAGCACTTCTTCAAGATTCAGAGCATTGCTGCAGTTTACACTGGCAGCCCTCTGTCTCTCTGGAAAACACCTGGAATGGAAACAGAGACACAAGTGGTCAGGTGCAGGCTGCATGAGCCACACACGGGGCCACAAGGGATCAATGGAAATGTGTGCCCCACTCCCTGGGAAAAGCTAGGCAAGAGGGAGGGGGACATAAAAAAACTTTATCATTTTTATAATAATTACATTCTATATTTAATTGCATGAAGACTTCCACAGCCCCCCTATGAAAACATTTCCACTCACAGTTCCCACACTACACTATAGTTATCCAAACATACACAATGTTACAAATAGCCCCCATCCCCCACAAAGTACCACTGGCAGCTAACATTACACATACAACTAGAAAAGCTACAATTTCTGGGGAAATTGTGTGAAGTGTTCTTGCCTCCACCAGTAGTCTACAACTGGAGTGGGCGGAGTAACTGTTATCATTTACATAGCACATTTAATTGCAACGTTGTTGCACAGTTACATTAAACCATACATTTATAAAAACATTAGCAGGTGTTCAAAAGGCCCTGTCTATGACATCACTTGCTGCTGCAGCCTGCACAGGTCAGAGTATTTTGGCGGTTGCCATCTTCAAACGGTCGTATTTAAAAACTATAATCCTACAGCGAAGAGCTTTATATTGTGAGAATCACAAGACCCAGACCTACATTTTGATGCATAGTATGTCTCTGAAGTATTAAAAATGAAGGCACAGTCGCAGTTTAGAAATTGCACTTCAAATTTGAGCTTTGTAGAGTGAAGTTTCAATGAATGTCAATGGACGGCGTTAGTTGCAAACAAATTATTATATTTTGAAAACTATCAGGACTATGGCTTAGCCGTTGACATGTTTAGTGGCAGCAGGGATAGCTGAACGTTTTTATATAAGATTTGTGTAGGTGGGCCTGAAAATAAGGGAGTGGTGGCAGTTTAGAAATCATGTCCTGATTTTTCAGCTTTTGCCAGCTCCCACTCTAGCTTTGCCATTCATTCCTATGGGACAAATTGCACCACAAGAACGACGATATTCCGTGAACCATTCGGCGAAACGTTCCACAAAGTAATAGCAATCCGATCGGGAACAATCTGCACGTTTTGGTAAATTTTTGTCTATGTAGTGTAAAAACTGTGGGAGGAGTTAGGGTGGCAAATTTTGCTATAATAAGAATAATAATAACTAGAAAAGCTACAATTTCTGGGGAAATTGTGTGAAGTGTTCTTGCCTCCACCAGTAGTCTACAACTGGAGTGGGCGGAGTAACTGTTATTATTTATATAGCACATTTAATTGCAACGTTGTTGCACAGTTACATTAAACCATACATTTATAAAAACATTAGCAGGTGTTCAAAAGGCCCTGTCTATGACATCACTTGCTGCTGCAGCCTGCACAGGTCAGAGTATTTTGGCGGTTGCCATCTTCAAACGGTCGTATTTTAAAAACTATAATCCTACAGCGAAGAGCTTTATAT